TGATGCTTCTTCCCCTCCCTTCCTTTTACTATTCCAAAGCCATCCTGTGACTCCAAAGAACAAGCTGGGCACCTTTCACTACTAACAAGTACTTTAATGAGCAAGAGCTGGAGCGATTAGCAACTGAAACCAGACAGTCCTCAATCTACCCAAAAAGTGAAGGCTTTACCAGCCACAGAGGTCCAACAGAGATGACTTCTGTATATACACATTCATTATGCATCAGTCTTCCACCTAGCAGAGCAAGCAGACACAGAGAAAGCCATGACTTTACTCATTTGTTATCTGCAGACTCTGTCCTGCCACACAACTAATTTACGCTCTAAGTTCTGCTCAGTGAAGCACAGCAAATTATGCACACAAGCAAAAAACATTTCCAGAGAATAGATATCAAGTAAGCTTCATTCATATATTTGCATGCAAAACTAGCACCACAGCGAACAACGAAGATATTAACACCAAGACACATTGAAAAGATACACTGAAGGCATCTATTCAGAGGGCAAAGAACCACCAGCTTTTCATGAAACAATCACTTAGTGACGGCTGAAAATTAAAACTACAAATCTGAGAATCTTCAAAAGTACCCAGGAATAGAATCATAGAATTGAGTTGGAAAGGATCCTTAAGGACCATCTAGTCCAACTCCCCTGCAGCGAACAGGGACACCCACAGTTAGATCAGGTTGCTCAGAGCCCCATCCAGCCTGACCATGAATGTCTCCAGGGATGGGGCTTCCACCACTTCTCTGGACAACCTGTTCCACTGCTTCACCACCATTATTGTAAAAAGCTTTTCCCTTATGTCCGATCTGCATCTCCCCTCTTAATTGGAAGACATTTCCCATTATCACAACAGACCCTGCTTCACAGAAAGAAAAACAGAAGTCCCAATCAAACGTCCTTGTGTAACTACATACTGAGCATCAAAATTCAAGTAAGATCTCTGAGTTTTCCAAGCAGCTGGTAGAGGTGCAGCACAAGGCCCACAAGCCTAGCGGAGCCAATGCTGCAAGCCTCCACTCAGAAAAATTCTGAGTAGCCTGAAGTGTGTGTTCCTATGCAGGACCGCAGCTTTATGAGGACTTCAGCTAATGCCAGCTGCAGTACAAACCTTGCTCAGTAAAGCAGAAAGAGCCTGCTGATTTCTTTATAGCATCAGTTTGATAATGTTAAAGATGGTCTTTACAAAAAGCTGGAATGCAGTCATTTAGACTTTTATTTCAGGTGTATGGATGACCTCAGTTCTTAGCAATCATTTTCTACAGTTATGATGGTTAAAAAGGTGACATCTGAACAAGTAACATTACATATAGCAGTCCTGTTTTTAAGACACTGTTCTTTCAGGCTACAGAAATATCTTCAGATTAAATTCTGTTATAGAAAAGGGCTTAATGTCTTTTAAATTCTGCACAATGGGCAGTTTAATAAATATTGAACCTGGCATGGACTAAGTCAATCACAGAGCGAGAACATAATCTGCAAAAATAATAAAAGCTTGTTACCACTACAGCTGTGTTTTTCAGTCATAAAAAAGTATTTATCAAGCAGGACTATTTACAGATGGCATACATCTATATGGTGTACAGAGATGATTTTACCCTCTCAGATCTCTAGTAAAGCATCCTAAGCAAGAGTCACTGCTGCAGAACAATTTTCAACTACCTCCAGGAAGCAACGGGCTCTTTCCTCTGCATCAATACAGTGCAATAAATGCTAGGAACTGAGAGAGGACCCTCCTACATCACAGCCCCATCAGATCTTCTTAGTAACCAATTTGGATTATGCCTGTTTGATGGCTGTGTTTCAGATTATATGTGGCTTTCAGCCTGGAAGCAGCTAAGCCAGCTGAGTATTGTACTGTGGGCATTTCTGCTGTGGATAGCAAGGTTGCTTTGCTTTTCCTTCCAAAGACTTATTTACATAAGCGGGAAAACAATTTGGAGATCAAAAGCAAAACCCTGCACCTATAACAGGTATAAACATATTGTCATGAGGCTGCCCAGGTGAAACAGGGAAACAACTCTGAAAACTGACTGCATGTGCAATTTTGCTTAGACATTTTTTCCTCGATATGCACTCATCATTTCAGCTGAGGGAGGATGGCAAAGAGAGGAGTTAAATTAATACAGTCTATGAGCAGTTCTGGAAGTCTTTAAAATACTGTGTGAGAACTGTATCCTAATTGGTGCTTGGAAAGAAAATGAATAAAATGGCATTTCTTAATCACATCACAAAATGTTAAGGTTAAGGGAGAGGGCTTTATATAACTCATGAAAATCAGTTTAAGCCAAAGTATGGAGGTAATAGAATATCTACCCCCCAAAAAATTGATGGTTTATTTTAAAGGAACATTTAAATGCATTTTTCCAGTATATATTTGAAATGTTCACAGTACAAAATTCTAATTTTCTTTAATTGAAGGTAAAAAAGATGAAAAATATTTTTGTCAAGGATCACTTCTAAACAAAATGAATAGAAATAGAGAGGAGTAATGATTCTACAGTTACACTGCACATCCTAATATATGCTTACATTCAGCAAAATATATCTGCATTACTGACATATTCTACTATATTACACATCATTCAACTTGTATTACAAATCCTACTACTAATTTGAAACACTCCATGCAATTTCCTTTTCCTATGTGTATGTTGACTCAGATGTTTGTATATTTGTTATCCCTGATGTGCCAGCATTGTGATAAATTCTAAGAAACAAGGGCATGATCTAAATCCAAATGAGAAGTTCTTTCAACTGTGAAAAATTACACTTCTTTTAATGCCGGATCTTGAAAAGCACAGTATTATAATTACCAATTGGGGCATCATAATAAAGAGAAAAATGTACTCAGCTGTAGGTAAAACTACTACATTCAGCCTCTAGAGGTAAGAGAGGAACAGTCTAAGAAGCACCTCAGTCATAGCAACAAGGATTCTCTTCCATTCAAAACCCTGTAGCAACAGCAAATATAGGCTATAGGACATGAAGAACTTTATAGGCATCATATTTTTATTTATTTTCTAAAGGCAGGGATCAGACTAGAATGTATGTTATTCAGCACCTTTTCTCATATTTTTCCCCTAAAAGCACTGACATTGCAAAGACTCACAGTAAAGCCATGCCATGCCAAAGCAGGTCTTCCTGCTTTGCTGGCTTCTGCCTACTGCCCAACACATCAGAGATGAACCGAGGATGCTCTGCAGCTTTCAGGATTCATTTCCTATTAAACATTAAAATAAATCCTAGCATCACAGACTCTGAAGTCCAAAAAGGCCAACTGGAGTGTCTACTTTGATGAATTCAACAACACAGACCATTACACTTCATCCAGCAGCTCATGCACCAATTTTTCCAGTTCAGGTGGAGCAAAGACACTCCTCCTTGAACTGACCTAATCTGATTCTTAATAGTTCATTAAGTGCTGGCATTATGCATGGCAAAGACTTTCTTCTGCTTGTAGAACACCTCCCATAATACAGCTCTGATACTTAGTAGAGCATAATGTTCTTCCAAAAGATAAATAAATAATAAGGTTGTCGTATCTGACTTTCCTATATTAATGCCTATTTCATGATCCCATTTTCCCTTTCTTAATTAAAGTCCACAGCTACATGACAAAGCATCTTCAACTTGCCTGAATCTTTTTGTTTCAGCTAGACCCAGCATCCCATGACATTTTCACTGTGCCTATCATTTTTTGCTTCAAGGGATATAAGGAGTTCATACATCTTCCTGCTGGCTGCATCCTGATCACCAAGTCCTGCTCTCCATCAACACATGACAGATCAATAGCTGGAGACAGGGAAGTTGTGTCAGCATAGATTTACATTTTATCTACCCTAAAACCACTTCTGAAGTCTTCCAACACTTCCTCTCTGTTAACAAGTCAGTGCTTACCCATCTATGTGCTTATTTCCGAGCTACGGTTCACTCCTGAAGTTATTCCAAGCTTTTTTATTCCTGTTTTCCAATTGATTTACCTTCATACATACAAGTTCATGTTCCTTGGGGGACTGAATTGTACCCACTGATCACAACCTCTGTCCAATTCAAATGCCCTAAATCCTCCAGCATTTAAGGGATTTAAACAAATCTTAGCAAATGAGCATGCTGAGGGACAAGCTATGTTCCTTTTGAAGAATTCTCCACATTTAATTACGGTACGTTTAAGACCATATGTTGTAAAGAAGAGCACTTTCCACATGAAGATCATGGCTGAACAGAGCAGTCTTTTGGTGACGGACAGTTGCATGCATCCTCTCAGAAATGCAATTCTCTACCATGTATTCTCTTAACACCATCTTTATTGACCCAGAACAGTTTCACACTGTCAAAGCTTGAGCTTCTTGAAGACACAAAGTATAACAGAAGTTTAAAGAGCCACTTGGAAGGAGGGCTAAGAGAGCACATCTGCAAACAGATCTATCTGCAGCCTTTCACTTTAGAAATACATGCTCTTGTCAAGCTGTAAAAGAGTAGAGTTTGTTTCTTTTGTACTTCTTTCTTGACTACTGCATGATCATATCAGACTCACTTGGTTTTGTCTTCTAACTAGATGCAATTTTGAAATAGAACTACAACAATGCAGGAAAAGCTTTTCTAAATGACTGATTTACATATTCATACTGATTTTGCCTTTCCAATCTCAAACAGCTCTACAATCAAGGAACAAGTGATTCTTATTTAAATTACATGGCAGTTAGTGTTCAAAAGCTCTGGAAGACAAATAACTCAGTGTCCAGCTGCTGAGAGGGAAGATTCTCATTTTGGGTTTTTACCAATAAACAAATTAAAAGTATTCTGCTTTCAAATTCAAGATGGTAAAAAATTTGAAAATAAACTGCCTTAAATTGTTTTTGAATAGGACAAAAAAGAAAAACATTAATTACATTTTGTAAGCTACTTATAACTGTATGCACTAATTTGTATGTACTGCTATTTTTTTTTTATTTTATTATTATTATTTTTTTTTTTGCAATTCACCTGGCAGGTAACAAAAGGGAAGAAAATAGAAAATACAGTTCAAAGTCATTTGAGCTGAGACATAAACCAGCAGTAAACTAGTGAAGGTCAAATAATGTTATGTTCATTGCATTCTAGATTAAGATTTATCCACTTAACAGAGGATAAGTGAGGTTATATTCTTCCCTGTAACAGAGACCTATTTTAAATTCTATGTTTGAATTCCTAAAAATAATTATATTCTACTAATGTAACAATCAATGAAGATATATAAACAGGGAGCCCCCATTCCCAACGTAACAGATTTCAGAGTAAAGGTAAGGAAAGTGCTAAGAATTTTAATTGCAATGTGATTAAAGTGACAATGTCATCATTTGGGAGAGTTAGGGCAGAATAAATTCAAAATTAGAGCACTGTCATGACTTACAAAGGCACTTCAAAACCTTCAGGTGAAAATCCTTCAATCATCTGTGGATTCCATAGAATCCTTCACCATCAATGGAGTCCAACAGTCCCACACATCAGTGGAGTGCTGTCTGGTGCTTCACCAGCATCACTGTCTGTAACTCCTTGCTGCTTCAATCTTCAGTATCTGGAGTGCAGCCTTTTTCAGGATGGATTTCTACAACTCCTTTGAATATATGGTATTCAAGGAGTAAGATTCTGGTACTTTACACAGAGCAGTCATTAATTAAATCAGGAATAATTTAAGGAACAGTGAACCCTACTAGTCAATCCTCTTCTAGCAACAAAAGATATATTTTTTTTTAACACCCAGTGTTGCACCAGGTATGTGAAAGTTACATGCCCTTAAATGAACATACAACATACAAGAAGCAAAGACTGAAGGTTTGTCCAAAATCTTCATAGTAATAAAAGAAAAAGTCCAATTACACCATTAATAGTTTGAATCAGTCAGCTGCTGCAAAGAATAAAGCCTTTAGCATAACAACTACACAGGTAACATGCACACCCTAGCTAGGTTCTACCTCAAGCACATTAACAAGTTCTTGAAATTCAGTGCTGAGGTACACGAATTAGGAAGCTGATTTCCTTCAGCTCCTCGTGTAGAAAACATGTTCACTGCTTCAGAAGGTAGTTAAGATCAAGGAAGAAGTCTCACTTAATTGCCATATAAAGACAGCTAAAAATAAAATACTGCAATTTTTTATCTTGCAATTTATTTATTAATAATATACAAAAATGACCACAAAACAGGATAAAATAATTATACATCTTAAACAAAATCAAAAAAGGCAAGTCAGGCAAAAGGCACCTAAGAAATGGGAAGGAATTTCCCATTTCCCATCCTTCAAGATGCCCTATGCAATAGTATTCTACAGCAACAACAGTAAGCACTGCACGTGATTACAGCTTCAGCATCATTCTTCCTTTTCCATCAGCCTACACTAATTGCTAAATGCTTGTGTCTTCTAAGTAGTGAAGTGCATGTTTCTTAGTAAAAGCATTAATTCAGTTAAGAACAGAAAAAGAAAAAAGCTACCATAGTTGCTTAATCTTCAGTGAAGTATGCCTCCAGTCCCTCCAGCTCTGCATCAGTAGTCATATTTGAAGTGGTGGGAGTAGAATTTGAATTCACGCTTTCCTGACTATTATTTCTTTGTTGAGAGTTTCCCAAATGACTCGGTTCCTTCTTCATTTCTCTACCACCACTTAATATCCTTTGACTTTCTGCAAAATACTGATTAGGATGATTCAAAGAAAATCCAATGTCATCAACCTACAAAAATGAAAGGAAAAGTTACTATTCTTATCTTTAAAAATCATTTCAATTCATATTTAAGAATAACTATTAATTTAATAATTTCAAATTTTGTTGAATGCAGTGGTTTGTCAATACTAGCCCAATAAATATAACCCTGACTTTTTTTTTTTAATCACACAATTTCTTTCCTCACATTAGGAATAAAATGATTGCTTTGGCATAATCATCAAGCAGTATTTTTAATTGTTTTTCCTGTATTAAAAATAAACAAACAAAAAAGCAATACAGGTAAAATACCATACACTCAAAGATTCAAAGATTTAGGAGAACTGAATCAATACCTAAATGCAGCATCTTCTTACACAAGAAATGAACCATGCTAAGTCTAAAGCACAAATGGAAATAGAGAAAATAAGTAAAAGTTTTTACAACAGCAGAAAAAGAACCCAGAGCTTAAAGTATCAACATGAAGCACACTGAACAGAAACCAGCAGCTTCATCTTTTTATTTTTTTTTTCCCCCAATAGTAATAAATACACTGTTTACAGAACGACAGGCTAAGCAAGTCCAGTAGGTTAAGCTCCAGTGCTAAGCATCAGCATCCCAAAACTCCACTATCTGCAAAACCAATACCACAGAACAGCTAGGTGCTGAAATAGAATATTAGCATAGAGAGTACTGTATTTGTATTGTTCTTTTCTACTTAGCCAACATTCTTTCAGGTCCATAATTATTTGACTAATGCAAATTAGATTAATGTTCATGAAATACTTCAACAGGGCTTCAGTTTTAAAAGTAAAACTGACACATTCACCACAATCTCTGATGTAACCTTTGTATTATACAGCAGCGGATAACACCTGAAGGTCTCAGCCCATGGATACCCTCAGAAGTAGCCCAGGCCAGAGCTACAGCCCAAGAACAGCCCACGGTTGGAAAGCAGAGCTGCAGAGCTGTGTTGGGGCAGTGCTGGGAGAGCTGCAGCTGGGGGAAGTGGAGTCAATTCCAACTTAACAAGTAATTCTGCACACACCCACACCCCCCTCATGAGGATATACACAGTGGCTGATTTAATATGCAAAGCCACGAGCTTAAATTTCAGCCACTTGTGAAAAATCATCAAGCACAGAATCAATGGGTGTCCAAAATGAGATCCTGATTAAATGTATTGCTGCAACCTACTTTAGCACCATCAGAAAACAGCTACACATACAACAAAATCTAATTCAGGCATGAAAAAAAGATATTAGTGACTGTAGCAAGTGACCTTGATTGAAAAAAATCTTAAAAATAAGTGGCTGGCCTACCATGCTAATTAGGAATTCAAAAATAAAAGGCACTTCAGCAAAAATAAATCCAAAACCAAGAGTAAATTTAATTTCAGTCTTATCTGGACGAATTTCATCCAGCCAGCTTTCATCCATGTTCCAATTTCCATCGTGTGGGAACTACTAAATTACTTCTTCACATCAAAAGGCTTAAAAATAAGTAATACAGTAAAAAGCCAATCTTTATTTATTCACTTAGAAAAAGCCCTTAATGAGTTCTTTTTTTCCTTAAAATCTCAGTTCTCTTCAGACCAATAAGATTCATTTTGTAATTCTAATTTTGTTTTAAACTGCTCTCTTCCCAATACGTTAGAACATGCTCACTGTATAAGTGAAAACTACAGCCACGTTTCCAGAGGTGATTGATGGCATTTGGCTAAAAACTATTTAAAGACTGTTAGTTAAAACTGTAGGATAAGTCTGTGTACTCTCCTTTTCAAACCTGAATGTTACTAAAATAAAGCTGTAGTGGATTAAGTTTAGGCAACATCATTTTTATTAAAAGAATTCTACCTACTCAGTCACCTCTTTTGAGAGCTGGAAGAAATAAATGGGAAGTTTTGTTCATAATTATCATCAGCATTTGTGATAGTGATAAACCAATAATCCCAGTGTAATTTTTAGTAACTTTCAGTGAATATTTCTCTGAACAAAAATATTCCGCTTTGACTGGAAATACACAACAAATGTTGAACACAAAAATAGGGGTGAAACATTAAAAAACAATCACAGAAATTTTTCTATGTTAGACTACTCATGTAAGTCTTACAATGTTTTTAGGTAATATTCACAAAAAATACATCAGAAATACCACCAAGTTGAAAACCTTCCTCAGCTTACAGAGAAGTTACCAGAAGCTTACTGCCAGAAACAGAGAAACTAGATTTCTCTAACAGTTTTACGCATTCACACCTGTTAACCCATCTAGAATCCACTATGTCCAAAGAAAAATGTATTTTCTGGGCAGTCAGAAATTTAAGCTTGTAGCATGTATTGATTCCAGTGAAGAAATCTGTCACTTCAGACAGAACTCTTTATTCCACCTAGCAGCTGATACTATCAGAAGACTATTCTTGGATTCAACACATCGTGCACATACTGACCTTCAGACCAACTCTAATTTTATAGTTGCTGCTATAAGAAATGTTCTAAAAGAAACTGAAACAACAATTTTACAGCAATTTCTCTGCTTGAAGTTTCTTTGAGTTTTAATCGAGAACTTTTAAAATTACAGCTGGTGTTACAGATAAACCATGTGGAACAGTTATGGTGCTAGAGTAAATGATATAAACCAACCACATCAAGTTGAATGTTCTTGACATTTAATTACAGACAAAGAAAAAAATTTTACATGTATGTATTTTTCAAAATAAACAACTCCAGGTGATTCCTTGGCAGCAGAAAGCGTGCTAAGTGTGTTAGATTTAATTTGCTTCTTAAAAATATACAATGACTGTAAAACATTAGTGGTCTGGAATAAAATTTTGAGAGATTAATATTAATATATACATAATCACCTGCTTATTTACAGCAAATTACTAGTACAGCAATACTCATGCAAAAGTCATTAACGTCTCTAGTTCCTTTGGAATACAACTTAACACAGTCAATAACCAGTTAGGTTTTCTTATTCTTAACAGCTAGAGGCTTAAAACAGTAAATGGTGATTTATGTACAATGAAATTCCACAGCACTAATTCTTTTTACAGACAATCCGTCACAGGAATATTAATTTGACCTATTAGCAGCTTACAGCTGATATCAATCTATTTTACTTGACTGCATGTTATGTAGCTCAGATCGCTGAACTGTTTTGTCTGATAAGATTTTTCTCTGTTTTGAATTGAGATCCAACTTTATCAACCAAATTAAAATAAAATCTCAATGCTATTGTAATCTTGAAAGGTATTCCTCATTGCTGTAGTATTTGCTTGGAGTTCAGGTTACACTCCCTACATTTGTAAGGTGTCTCATTTCCTCTTCACTTAAGTTGCCTTGTATCAGTACAAAATAAAATTGCAACAAATCTAAAAGGGATAATCAACATGAAATAGCTTATTGATAATTCAAGTACAAATATTAGAACTTCAAGCAGTTATGATGCTTTCCAGATATGCCTTATAACTTAAATTAGACCATAAATACAGATACGTTAGTAGTTTTTGAATACTTACTCTGGTTTCATATTCAATAAATAATTCTTGATTCTTATTAAAATATTATAATTTTGAAAATATCTAGCTGTCCAATCATACTTTTATGATATTTGTTCTATCATGTTTCTGCACAGGCTGTTCAAAAGGCTGTTGACTACTAAGTCAAAATACCTTATTTTCATCACACACGTAGAAAAGCTTTTCTTGGTCAAATTACAGTACTATTATTTAGAAAAGAACTTTCTCAAAAAGCAGTACACCCTAACCTTCCAGAACATGAAAAGCTATTCATGCATTCTATGTAGTGCTTAGCAAGTACCTTTCACAGTTAGTCAAAGACTTAAAATGCACAGAGGTGCATTTCTTAACACATTAGTTCCTTCCTGAAGAGAATACACTAGACTACACAAATGATAGCTGCTTTCCTTCTGTGGTTGTGAGATGGTGACACAAAGATCCGGGTGAGGTATAGCAATTAAATTAATAAAGCCCAGTTTACAACGAATCTGAAGAGAAGCATCTTTTAGGTATCCCTTGAACCTGAAACATTGAGGTGCAAGGACTCTCCAACAGTTGTAAACATTTTCGTTCTAATCCAGCTGGATTTATTAAGACAGATTTAGTGTCGAGCATTATACAACAGAAACCAACAGAGAAGCTGTTACAATCATGAGAATAAAATGCAACAGAAACTTGATAAACGATAACGGGAAGAAATGCAAAAACAGTTAAGTAGACATAGCTTGTGACTGACTCTGTGAACTCAGAAATAGGCAATACTAAATACGTTCCAGAGCATACTTTTGCTGTACATTCAAGCCTTATGATTGCTGGGAATTTGAGGAGACAAAGAGTTCCACACAAATCAAATGTGAAAACCAGCGAGAACAAAAAAGTCAATGGCAAAAATCATCTAATCCTCATCCAGATTTTAACAAGATCATTTCATGTTCTGATGTTTGGAAAGGGATGCTTCAATTTTTTTCAGTTGTGGAGAAAAGTTAGTTATAAGAAGGGCTGTGCTCCTACTTTCTTGACAGTGAGGAACCTTGAAGCAATGAGAAAATTATTTTTGCTGAATCAAGAAATCAGGAAGAAGATGTGCCAGTGCCTTTCGCTATCTTATACCTCTCCTTTGTGGAGGATCTTAATTTAAAAGTTTATAGAAGCTTACTATTAAGCAGGGAAAGGTCTGCTTATCTTGATTTAAAAATTAATCACACATGACAAATGACATGAGAAAATTATCAAGTGAAAATTAACATCAACTCTCTAAGTGCTGAAAGATTAGAGTTTTGGTTACATTTGTTAGATCTATTCCGCTTAAGGTATACCTTATAATACCAAACTTGCATGATGGGTTAAAAATGACAACTTGTTTAAAAACAGGATATTGAAAAAGTTAAACAGCTTCAAATACATTTAACATTTGAGTGTATATATCTAAATGAAAACATTCAAACAAATTAACAGTATTGACTATTTTAGGAAGAAAGCACAAACTTTTTCTGTATCTTGCAATGTTTATGATGTGTATGTCATCAATATATAAATAAAGGGAATTCCAAAAGAAATTATTAAAATGAAAACTAAAAACACAAGATAGCTAGCATTGGACATAAAAATTGCAAATAGTCTCAGCATTTCATACACAATTTCCAAGGTCTTCTTCAAAACAAAGTCAATGGTTGTAGTTTAACAAAAATTACTACTAGCTACTTACATCATGTGTCAATTCAAAGTACTTCTGACACGCCAGCTGGTAATGCATGCCCTTCACCAATTCCAGGATCTACACAGAGGAAGAAAAAATGTAAAGGATCCACAGGTAGCACACACATGCAACAGAGAACTTTGCATTTTGTTGATATTTACTACAACAAGGCAAATATCACCTTTCCCAACAGATGTGTATAGTACTTCAAGTAACTTTGCAGCACGTTTCATCTTTGACTGGTGTATTCTACTAATAACTAAAAGAATTTAGACATGCTACAATTCTTTTAAAATAATCGTGTCATCCAACCCCTACAATTCTGTGATATCATATTAAAAGCCAAGATAAAACCACAGGAAGATAGACGTGGTGTCTAAAACTTAATTTCAGTACTTTAATTTCAAGAATAAGTTGAATTAATATTTTGTTAATAAAATTGTGACAGCTATTGCTAAACTATATTGTGACACTTCTTCCATAGTAGCAGATGTAAATCTAGTAATTCAAGTGTTCAAAACACACAACAATCAAGTACACTATTTGGATCTTTATTTTCCATACTACCAGTTCATACAGATGCAAAATAAAATAGTACAGTGCTTCCATCATCAAGAAAATTTAATTCAAACCCTTCAGACAAGTATCTCTGAGAGGGAAATGCTTCTAACCCTCAATCATATTTGTCCTTTTAAAATGAAGCTATTTCTGGCCAAGCTCAGCAGAATATGTGAGTGAATAGCCTGCTTTGAACACCTATTAGGAAAATCATGCCATCTTTTGTAAACACAATTTGCGTCCCAATTCTACTGCATGTAATCTCTTCTGTGCTGTACAAAGTCCCACTCTTATCAGCAGAACACAATGTTGGCTGATTTTTTTTCTTCCTTTTTTTTTTTTTTTTGTATGTGATAAAGTTTTATCAGCTCCTCCCTCCTTCATATAGTCAAAATACATGCTCTCCCTGCTTATCAAAATGAGAAGATTGCTGGAATTAAGAGATAACCTGAGTGGATGGAAAAGTAGTTTTCTAGAAATGTTAATTTCAAGTCCCTTTCCCAGGTTTGACCTTTGTGTCAAACACAGCAACGTACTCCAGCTTAAATCCCTGCTGTCCTCATTACTGGATGCCGCCTCGTATTTATTGACAGATATATAAATAAATTACTTTTGCTGAATGGATAAAAAAAATGGCAACACAGTGCCAAGAAAGTACTTAACCACATACTTTCTCTGTCATAGTCTAACTGATTACACTTCTATGCCTCTTGCAAATTCCTGTTAAATCTTCTGTAAGAGTTCAAGATCAAGGCCAAGTGGGCAATGAAGTCTGAAATTCAGCTCTCTGACATACATGCATATGTATGCACAGAAACATGCACACTTCGATTTTTTTATCTCTCTCTTTTGAAAACGACTGAAAAAAATAGTGTTACATTAAGCAAATGGTTGAAGAAAACTATTCTAAATGCTTCAACTGTGCTTTGCCTTACATTTTTCTCTTTCTGTTCCTAACAAAAAATATCTGTATTGTGCAAAAGAGCTATCTTAACTTTCAAATAAATGCTAACTACATTGTATTAAACACTAACAACATTGTACTGTTTACTTGCATATATACACACATATGTATTACAGATAGATGCAACACATATATTCAAATAGGACAGAAACATTAAGCCAGCTTTCATTATTCCAAAAAGCCATTAAGCCCTAACATGTTTTTCTCATAATTTGGAATACTGATCAGAAGACTACATGCCCATTGCTGGTTGAATGTTTTATTTTATTGCATTCAGATTTTTCTAAACCAATCTTTCCAGCTGGAAGAGCCAACTAACTCAACCGAGTTCATGAACACTTCAGGTTCTCTCAGATTTATTAATTTAACCAAGATTACACTTCAATATAAATAGTTCTAATCCTCAGCTGGAAAGGTATTCTAAGATTCAGAATCAAGTGAGCAAACAAAACCTTTCTAAAGCCTCAACAACTTCTGTGTATAAAACCCAAAAGTTTAAAAGCATCAAAATTCTCTTGTAATTTAGAGAACTTTTAGGAAAAGTTGATCAGTTAAAAAGTTAGTCATGCTGCAGTTTGCTCAACTTTTCAATTTCAGACCATGACACTATAGCTACTTTTTGTATCAATGATGCCAATGTCCAACTATCCTTAAAAGCAGAAATGACAAGCATTACCAACCAAAGCCAGTGTTTGATTTACTAACTTACAGTGACTCACAGGATGTAAGATCACTGCTGTCTTCTCGGATAACTTCAAGTGACAGCTATCACTGACAAAGCACAGATGATGACAGAATAAAGGGGCACTTTTAATTTCCAGTTTTGTAGGAGGGATTATTCAGAACAAACTATATCATGCCCACTTATGCCCTTGACCCATCTACGAGAAAATCTTGACCCATCTTTACAGTGAAGAAGAATCAATACTGCTCTCATATACATAACGTTATCAGAGCTCTCCTTGAGGAACTCAAATTTCTAAAGAAAAGCTTTATTATTTCGTAGCTGCTCAATCTTTCCAGCTTCTCTGCAGATCCAACAAGGAACACTTGTCCCACTTCCTCAAGAATCCTCAAACCTCCCTGAGGTGACTGCTGTGTCACCACACAGACAGTACAGACCAGGTACTTTCGTCCAATTTCCCCAAATAATGTATATGATTGTATCATTAACCACACACTGTACTAACATACTTATCCATAACTCCTTTCCCCTCTCCACCAAATCTCCTCTCCAACTTTGGCTGCTGAGTCAATTTCAGCCAAATTTGTCAGACAGAGATGACAACACTACACAATTCCTACACAGTGATGAAAAACAGAGGCTGGACAAAAAAGTCAGACAAACTTTTGCAACTTATTCAGGGAAAAGCAGTTAAAATTCAGGTCCCATCCATTCTGAGAGGCACCCAGAAGGCAGACAAGCCATAAGCCTGATAATTAGCATATCAGTAACTTTAAATTGGTCACCTCACATGGGAACAGATTCACTTTTCTGTATATGATGGAGTTGAGGAATGAGGGTTACCATAAATATATCCTAGGAGGAACAGATTTAGCAGATTAATGGGCTTTAACGGGAGCAAGTTGCTGTGAGAGAAAAAGAAACAGTTAAAAAAGACAACAGTGGAGCCCAGCTAGTGGTGGCAGCGGTGATAAGGAGACGGTTGGACTAGATGATCTTATAGGTCGTTTCCAACCTTGTGATTCTATGATTCTATGAAAGTATTCTGAGTGAGAGGAACAGTCTTCTATTTCAACAAAAAGGAATTATAATTCATAATAAAAATCACCATTCCTACTACATTTGCGCTGGTAACGAAAGCAAACTTGCAGCTGCTTTTCACTGGTGTTATCCAGAAAGAGTTCTCCTCTCAAAACTACCTTAATTACCCACAACAATCTTTTGCCTCCTCCTATACTCAGACATTTACACTAAATTGCTTTACTTTGCAAGGAAGGGTACATACTGAAGGACTCTTTTTGTTGCTTCTTATGCGCCTTTCCTTTGCTACCATCTGCAGCCCGCTTTTCTGATGTTGCTTTACTGACTACTAATTAGGTTAAGATGATGTTTGGCAGCTGCATGCAGCCACCTGCTTTATAGATCTTCAGCTTTTTCAGCTGAGATGCTGCCTAGCTGGATAGTTTGAGCTCTGCAATTATCCATAGTTATTTTCATTTATTCCAAGTTACTTTGTTTTATTTGACAGCTGCTAAACTACCTCAGATTTTCAAAACCAAATTCTGTTGTAGATTCAGTTAAGTACAACTTCTTTCTACCCTTCATTGTATTCCAAAGGGGGCTAAAGATATGACTGCTGATATGATTTCTGGCCACCTTCAGTCCTGCCCCAAGAATCCATACTGCATTTCACGTCCTGATCAAAAAAAAGTGGGGGGAGTGGGAGGGGAATGTCCTTACAAAATTGAAGCAATTAGTATACATTCTAAGTTTACAAAACAGTTTCAGGAATAAGGAGCTGAAACATTTTTGCTTCACATTGGTTGTTTTCCTGCTTTCTGATCTTTGTGTTTATGCCTTTGACTTTCTCTGTATCATTCTTCTTTCCTTTGTTTTCTTCTGAATAAAAATTTTATGAGCAGTTTAAAACACTAAAAGCTGAAGCTACTGAAGCTGCCGAAGTGTAAATACACAGATGGTAATTCTACCCACCCCCTATTCCTCCCAGTTCAGTACTAATGACAGACTGAAAGTGAACCCTCCCTCCTCACTTTCCCCATGTTTCACTTACAGCTGGATATTCCTTTTCACCTATTTTACCATGTTGTCTTAAGGTCAGTATAAGGAAAGGAATGAAAACTCAACATGCAAGGACGAACAAAGGGTAGAACTGCCTTCCACAGTAGCAGCCCACCTTTAGTCTAAAAAACCTCACTGAACCGAAGTCTAACATTTGACTAATGAATGTAAATACTTGACATTGAATTTGCTTAAATTAATTCCTCTCTAGCAGTCTTGGGCACTCTGCTCTGGGTGTCCCTGCTTGAGCAGGGGTTGGACCAGGTGGAGCCACAGAGGTCTCCGTCCACCTCAGCCATTCTATGATTCAAGAACAGGCACTCTCAGTAGCAAACAGTTTCTATTCCATCCTTCTGGCAGTTAGAATACAAATTCAAATTAAAAAAATATATATTTTCCAGTCCAACCATTACTAGCTTCCAACTTAACATCTATCTTAAGCACTTTAAACCATGTTCTACGCAAAATAAAATCCATGCATACTCTAAAAATATTCTGTATTCCCATAGCCTTTTAAGATCAAACAGATTAGCTATGCTCTTCACTATTCTGATAAACCACAAGAAAAGTGCAATGTCAAAATACCAGGTCTATAAAGTATATTAGAGAAAGTACAGTCTCACTAAAATGGGGAGGACGCACTTCCAGCACACAACTATTACTTTCAAAACCATGGCTGAACACTATCTCCAGTCAATAAATGATTTCTATCTATGGATGGGAAGAGTCAGCGCTCACATTCACACCAGAGTGCCCAAAGAATTTATTTTCACTACAAAGATTCCTTTACAC